ATACCAGGGAAAAGTCCTGTGTGTGTGTGTGTGTGTGTGTGTATGTATGTATATATGATGTGTATATATGTATGTAGATATATATATATATATATATATATATATATGCTGTCAGAAGAAAACTTTTGGCATAGTTTGGCATAGTCATGCTTGGTGGCCTTTACATCGTGACCCAAAATGACTTGGAAAAAATTCTGGTTCCATTGACTTACATTAAAAATAAAGTAGGTTTTTTGCTTCTCCTGAAAAGTTCTCATTTTGGAGATACGAGGTTGTTTCGACAACAATATATATATATATATATATACACACACACACACACACACACACACTACATATATATACATACACACACACACACACACACACACATACATATATATATATATATATATATACACATACATACATACATATATATATATATATATATATATCACACACACACACACACACACACTTGTCCCCTATGTAACAAGATATCTTATATGTATATTTAAAAGTAAATGAATTTACCAATATACAATATATATGCAATTATGTATATGTAATAACATCTGTCATATGCGCAACATGTCTCAAATATATGCGGAAATATCTATACCTAATAAGAATTTTAGAAACCCGGTCCTAATCTTAATCTAAAAAGAAATGCTTTTATTTCATTCAGCTTTAAATTCTCCCCAATGTTCCCATGTACGCATGCTCAGTGGAAAACCACACTTGGACACGCTTAGTGGCTTTGTTTTCTACGAGGCTAATGTAGTTTAGAAGTAATGGAAGCTTAGCCAGTGTGAGTATCACACTGTTGTCTACCAAAATGGACAACAGTAAAGCGCACAGCTGAATAACGGTAGTTCAGTATTACGGATGAGCGACAATTTTCAAATAAATTAGAACTATTGATAAGCAAATACTCTCGTTTTTACGAACCACCAGATGTCTGAACTTTACACTCCACTAGAGGGCAGAGTAGAGCCCATGTCTTACCTTCTGGTCAGAGATGACCTGACGTGAAACACTACTTCATGATGCTGCCGTTGTGACTAATAATGTTAACTGAGACTACCATTCTGTTTACCTGCCTGATGTGTCTGGCATGTTGTACCAGTCTTAAAACAAAAAGAAGCAAACTTCAGACGCCAAGCGTCTTGGCTGATCGACTACATTTAGGATAAGAAAAGCTGTAAATAGCTTTAATAGTGGGTTTTTAATGGCTCTGCTTGGTCCTTCTACTGGCTACAGTATGTAACACTGTTTTGCTGTACTACATGTTTTAAATTACAGGGTGAATTAAAAAGATTAATCAGATTTCAAAGCGCCATATTTTTACAACCGTGAGGCGTCGAGGAACCAATCACAATCCAACTGAAAGAGGGGGTCATAGAGTTTCTGACTGTCAGTGGAAGATGTCTCCCTTCAGTCTGAGAGGAGATGAGACCCCTGAGCAGAAAGCGTTCTGCGTTCTCCACTTCAATAAGAGTGAATCCGTCATAACTGTGCAGTGTGATTTTCGTGGGCAGTGAAGCTCCAACAGCTCAGAGCGTTCAGCGTTGGTTCCACAACACTGGATGATCTCCGAAATCGCACTGAAAGAGCCGTGAGTGCAGCGACACCCGACATGCTCAATCCAGTATGGGATGAACTTGACTATGGTGTCAATGTTGTCCGTAGAGCTGGAGGAGGTTCATACTGAGCACTCGTAAAATTATATAAACTTTATACTCATTTAAACCATTTACAGTTTACTGTATTGATCTGTAATGACTTACAAGTGAAATGAATCATTTTGAAATTGGATGAATCTTTTTGAATCACCCTGTATGTGTGTATTGAAAAAGTCACACATGAGACCAACTATGAGACCAACTAACCGCTAAGCTACTGACTTAATGTACACTCAAACCAAAAGCAGAAGCCTGACCGCACCTACAGCACGCAGAACAGCTGGTCGTCCAGCTGATTTAGAGAAGAAAGACAGAGCCCAAATACGAACACTTGGAGTGTGAAAGCCTATTAACACACAAACACTGAGGACTTCAAAACCAGCTGAGACTCAATCTGGTCCAGCAGTGCCCTGAAACAGACAGCTCAGATCAGAGTTCGCTTACATAGGAACATGTGTGTTTGAGCAGCGGAGCAGAGAGAAACCACAGCGCGCCTCTGCTTCCTGCTGAACTTCCCTGCACTAACACACACATGCCTGTTATTATACCACGACAGGGCGTGGGGCCCAACATACGTGCCATATGTATTATATACAGGAGTACCTATATGTAGGGGTGGATGATACGGCAAAACGTATAATATCATGTATTATGATCTTCTGATACACAGACATAAACCAATAATACAGCCACATTTAAAAACCCCATGTTCAATATAATAATAATATGATTAATATAATATAATAATTATGCTCTCTGTTACGGAACATGCACGTGTTCTGTGTTCTTTAAGTGCTGACGTTATCGACGACCTGCTCAGAGAAGCATAATGTGTATCACGATAATAAAACCGATCACAATAATGATGAAATACTGCCATATCGGCCAGCTCTCCACACTTAAAATAAGATGGCCCTTCAAGGGTTCTTAAGAAAAGAAAACGGTTCTATATAGAACCATGAATGCTCAAAGAACCCTTTGCATGATTACAGGGTTCTTTGCATGGCCAAATGGTTCTTCAGACTCATGGAGAATGTGGTATTTATGGTCCTTGATAGCACCACTGTGAAAATCCATCTATGTAGCTCCAAAAAGGGTCCTTTTATTATGATAAGCTTGGCACTGTAACAATAGAAGAACCCTTTTTTGTGCTACATAGAACCATCTACAGCACATTCTCCATCAATCTGAACCCTGAACAATGCAAAGAATCCTTTTTAAGACTGGACCTACAAAATAACATGATGGCCCATCTGAATATATATATGTATATACACACATATATATAAACAATAGAAAGAAGCCCCATGTGTGTCCCTTATGCATATATAAATCATAAATATAGCTGAATTTACACAATATTCTGTATATAGATCATTATATATATGTTATAATATGCAACATATTATATGCGCAACATGTCCCAAATATATGTGTAAATATCTATACCTAATTTTCCAAGAATTTTAGAAGCCTAACCCTAATCTTAATCTCAGGATCCAAAAAGAAACGCTTTTATTCTTTTAGCTTTAAATAATGTGCATTCAGCTTCACATTCTCCCCAATGTTCCCATACTTTCCATGCTTAATCCTAGTCCCTAATCTTAATCCTACCCCTAATCTTAATCTCAGGATGAAAAAAGAAATGCTTTATTCTTTTAGCTTTAAATTAATAGTATTCAGCTTTAAATTCTCCCTAACGTTGCTATACTTTCCATGCTTAATCCTAGTCCCTAATCTTAATCCTACCCCTAATCTTAATCTCAGTATGAAAAAAGAAACACTTTTATTCTTTTAGCTTTAAATAATGTGCATTCAGCTTTAAACTCTCCCCAATGTTCTCATATATATGTAGCTATATTTAATACAAATTTTCCAAGCTTAATCTTAGTCCTAATCCTAACCCTAATCTTAATCTCAGGATCATAAAAGAAATGCTTTTATTCTTTTAGCTTTAAATAAATAGAATTCAGCTTTAAATTCTCCCCAGTGTTCTCATATATATGTATCTATACTTAATGCGACTTTTCCAAGCTTAACCCTAGTCCTAACCCTAATCCTAACCCTAGTCCTAACCTCAGTATCCAAAAAGAAACGTTATGGTTTTTCTGTAAAAAGCTCTGTACACAGTGGTTTGTGTGCTGGTTCTGTTTTTCTCTGATTCCTTCTAAAAGGTGCAGCAGGTGCTGCAGCAGGTGTGTCTCAGAGACTCTCACAGGGAGAGAAAAACGCTTTAAACGCTTCAAATGTTCTCTGAATCGGCCAGAACTCCGAAATCTGCAGAGCTTCACTGACCGCAGAGCCGTCACACCTACAGGGCGAGACCAAACTGCAGCAGCAAGCAGGAGAAGAAAAAACAAACCCGGCGTTCAGCACATCAACACCCCACACACACACACACACACACACAAACACACACACACACACACACACACACATATCACTCATCACTCAGGCAACCGGATCAAAAACACTCACACAGAAAGACAGCACGTACAGGATGAGCTCACCTCAGAGCCAGAACCTGACCACCATGACCTTTAACCCCGAGATCAAACAGAACATCTGCACACCAATAAACTCCATCTGACACATTACACACAGCTTCATAATAACAGTAATTAGAATAATAATAACCTTTAAAAGGAAGCAGCTTTTTATCTTTGCACTCTGTTCTAATATATCATAAAATTCTATGTTTATTATATTTTCTTTACATATTTTAACATTGAAGTGTTCAAATTTCTATTTCCTTTTTATTAAAAAAGCACTATTTAATTTTTATTTTTCTGTTTACTCTTTTACACTTTATTTAATTTCACTGTGAAGCACCTCAAGCTGCATTTTCATATATGAAAGGTGCTATGAAAATAAAGTTATTATTTTTATGATGTTTTTATTATTAAAAACAACAAACATTATTATTATTATTATTATTATTATTATTATAAAACACTATTTTAATTGCTGTACAAAAAAGTGTAAATACAGAATAAATAATTAAAACTGGTTAAAATGAAACTTTTAACTACTTCAACTTTGCGAATTGATGCATTTATGTATTTTATATGATGGTATTTTAATGCACGGATGTTTTGAGATAGTGGTTTTAGTGGTTTTGAAAGAAGGAAGACACACAGACTCATCAGCACATCTGTACAATCGAAATGTAAATAACCGCTTTCATGCCGTTTACAGGGAATCCCACTCAGTATCCAGAAGTGATTCCTAACTGCCGGCTTTCATGCGGCTGAACACATCCCGCCTGTTTCGGCGGCTCCTGATCGGCCCTGTTCGGTGTTTTGAGCGCTCTGATTATTTAAACACACTCACTTTACTCTTCTTGCTCATTTTGCTCTTGAGGTAGCTGAAGGTGCGGCTCACTTTGGTCCCGCCCACTCGGACCTCTCCACCCTCACTCCTCAACGGAGCCGGATCCTCCTCAGATATACTGAGAGAGAGAGAGAGGAGAGAGAGAGAGAGAGAGAGAGAGAGAGAGAGAGACAGAGAGACACAGAGAGGAGAGAGACATGGGGGGAGGGTAGGGGGAGAGAAAAGGAGAGAGAGGGGAGAAAGACAGAGAGAGCAAGAGAATAAAGAGAAAGAAAAAAAGAGAGAATGACAGAGAAATACAGAGAGGGAGAGAGAGACAGACAGAGACAGAGACAGAGAGAGAGAGAGACAGAGAGAGAGAGAGAGGCAGAGGGAGACAGAGAGAGGCAGAGAGAGACAGAGAGAGAGAGAGAGAGAGAGAGAGAGAGAGAGAGAGAGAGACAGAGAGACAGAGAGAGAGAGAGAGAGAGAGAGAGACAGAGAGAGAGAGAGAGAGAGAGAGAGAGAGAGAGAGAGAGAGAGAGAGAGAGAGAGAGAGTTACATACTGTCAAATGGTAAAATAATCCAGGAAACTAGACAGAAGGAAGGAAGAAGAAAAAAATTTTTTTTTAAAAGTAAAAAAGTAAAAGAAAGTGAAAAAGAAAGTGAAATAAAAAATAAATAAATATGAATAAAAAAGGAAAGAAAAAGAAATACAGAAAAACAAAAAATTGTGAACAAAAGCAGGAAGGAAAGCAGGAAAGATGGAAAAGAAAGCATAAAAGAAATAGTAAAAAGAAATGTTAAAGTGATGGAATAATGTGAAAGAAAAGGGAAAGCAGGATGTCTTGATTGGTGGACAGACGGGCGGACAGAGTCATTTTAATTAATATCATTTATAACCCCCATGGTCCTGGAGCATCTGCTGAAAATACCCACAATCCTGCCGCCTGTTACCTGTAAAACACCTGTAGAACACCCACAACCTTCAGCTGGGTCTTACCTGCACTCCAGTGATCCTGACGCACTCGTGAAAGAGCCCAAATCTGAAACCGAAAAAGAAACCGTGAGCTCAACCAACCAATCAGAATGTTTTAATGAATATGGTGCAATAATAACAACAGTGTTTAAAGGAAGCGACTGACGAGGGAGTTTGTTCATGTTCAAAACATTCAACAGTGAAGCTCTACTGAGAGTAAATGATGGGAAACTGGGGTCACTAAGGTCCGAAAGAAACTGAAAACAGGACAAACATAAAAACACACCACTCTGACAGACTACAGGACCAAAACACCGTCATATAACATGCTACACTACAGGGCTTTGAGGATCGTTTAAGCCACGTCACAGCCATGATTTAAGAACAAGCTGTGATCACATAAAGGAAATAAACAACAAAATGTTCCTAAAAACAAAGTAAAATTAGCAACACAGCGCAGCAGTCATGCTAAACATGCTAGCAGTGACAACAAGTTTCCATTCACTGCTCAAAACTGCATTTTTGATTTTCATGAACACTTTGTGGAGACGGCACGAGGCTAAACCGTACTGAAAGGATAACAGATCCAAAAGTCTGTTCTGAAAATGAACAGCCAAAAGCTAAAAATATAGCCATAAAAATCAGGTAATGCAGGTGAAGGAAGGGACTCTTATGTTGTAAATATAAGAAAGTATCATCACAATAACACAAAGGTGAAGAATAGGACATTTATGTTGTAAATATATATATATATATATATAAATATATATATATATATATATATATATAAATAAAGAAAACATCATAACAGAGAGGTGAAGGGGGGACTTTTATGTTGTAAATATATGAACGTATAATCACAATATAAAGGTGAAGGGGGGCTTTTATGTTGTAATTATAAGAAAATATCATAACAAAGGTGAAGGGGGGGCTTTTATATTGGAAATATAAGAAAATATCATAACAAAGGTGAAGGGGGGGCTTTTATATTGTGAATATAAGAAAGTATAATCATAACATAAAGGTGAAGGGGGGCTTTTATTTTGTAAATATAAGAAAGTATAATCATAATATAAAGGTGAAGGGGGGCTTTTATGTTGTAATTATAAGAAAATATCACAACAACATAAAGGTGAAGGGGGGACTTTTATGTTGGAAATATAAGAAAATATCATAAAGGTGAAGGGGGACTTTTATGTTGTAAATATAAGAAAATATCATAAAGGTGAAGGGGGGCTTTTATATTGTGAATATGAGAAAGTATAATCATAATATAAAGGTGAAGGGGGGCTTTTATTTTGTAAATATAAGAAAGTATAATCATAATATAAAGGTGAAGGGGGGCTTTTATATTGTAAATATAAGAAAGTATAATCACAATGTAAAGGTGAAGGAGGGGACTTTTATGTTATAAATATAAGAAAATATCATAACACAATATTTAAACATCACATTTTACAAATAAAAAGGCTGTTAAACGTCATGAAGGACCTTGTTTAACAGCCACACGGTAGGAAAAACTGGTAAAAACAGTAAGTTTATAGGAAAAGGGAAAATAAGCAATCTGTTAACGTAATTAACGAAAAACAAACATGGGCGCTTTATTAAAACCATCTCCTCGTGTCTGCACTCAATGTCCACTTTATCAGCTCCACTGACCGTATAGTGTCTCTCTGTAGTTCTACAGTTACAGACTGTAGTCCATCTGTTTCTCTGCATACTTTGTTACCCTGTTCTTCAGTGGTCAGGACGCCCATGGACCCTCACAGATCAGGTACAATTTGGGTGGTGGGTCATTCTCAGCACTGCAGTAACACTGACGTGGTGGTGGTGTGTTAGTGTGTGTTGCGCTGGTCTGAGTGGATCAGACACAGCAGTGCTGCTGGAGTTTTTAAACGCTGTGTCCACTCACTGTCCACTCTATTAGATGCACCTGCGTTGTTGGTCCACCCTGTAGATGTAAAGCCAGAGACGACAGCTCATCTCTTGCTGTACAATATGAGCTAAACAGCTGATCCACTCAGACCAGCACAACACACACTAACACACCACCACCACGTCAATGTTACTGCAGTGCTGAGAATGACCCACCACCCAAATAGTACCTGCTCTGTGAGGGTCCATGGGGGTCCCGACCACTGAAGAACAGGGTAAAAGGGGGCTAACAAAGTATCAGAGAAACAGATGGACTACAGTCTGTAACTGTAGAACTACAAAGTGCACCTATATAGTAAGTGGAGCTGATAAAATGGACAATGAGCGTAAAAACAAGGCCTGATTGGTATGTATATATGTGTATATCTCAAATTTGTAACTGGTCCATTTACAGTGGAATTAAATAAATAAAATAAGTTCAGTTTTTATAGACAACAGTAAAACGTACGCCGGTTGCCAGGAACCTGCTTTCTCTTTTTCCCTCCTCAAACAAAAACAAAACACAAATCTGCCTTTAAGTTCTCGATGAGCGACAAAACTTCACACGGAAAACCGTCTAAGGCATTCGGGGCCTTCACAGCAGCTAAACGGAGGCTCTGAAGAGAGTTTATGTGGAACTGGAACAGAAATCCAGTGGGAAGAGAATAAAGAGAGACCTAGAAAGAGTGTTTATCCATGACAGAGCAGTGTAATGACCGATACGGGTTACTGCACATTACTCCCAAAAAGCCCTTTCCTCCGTCTCCGTCAGCTCGCAATAATGGGAAATAACGTCTCCATTTACAGCGGAGGGAGCCTGACGCTCGACCAGGGGAAGCTAGATGGTCATTCCAGATGGTGCAGCGGTCAGCTGAATGCCTTCATTCAGCAGCAGTCGCCTCCTCTCTGCTCCTCAGTCTTTAACACTGCTGCATTAACGTTCTGCAGCTTAGACGGTCTGCAAACGGTCATCTTTGGTCAGAAGATCGAGCACAGTAAGCATTAACAGTGAGTTTGTGCTGCAGTAACAGCCTCTAATCTTCTGGGGAGGTTTTACACTAGATTTCGGAACATTGTTGTGAGGATTTGATTGCATTCAGCCACAAGAGCATTAACAGGGTCAGGTACTGATTACATATGGGACCGATCCGATCCTATATCGGTATCGGGTCCGTTATTGACGTCATTTCACTCGTCAGATATCGGACGGGCAGGGCCGATCCACTTACTGATCCATGTTCCAGTTCGCAGCTTGCACTGGAACGTGAACCCGCCCTAACGTAACATAACATAACAGATACATCACCAGTCCAGATTCCATTCCACATCTTACCATGAAACCGCGGTAACTTCGGCCTGTAAGTGAGTGAGCGAATGACATTCACTGTGGGTTTGACCAAAATGTTGTTTGTTTGGAGATATTTTAGTCTAGAAACGCCGCAAAGACAGCTACTTGTAATGTGTGTAAAGCCTGAGTGGCGAGAGGTGGACGTGCGGCTGCGCTGTACAACAGATAGATAGATAGATAGATAGATAGATAGATAGACAGACAGACAGACAGACAGACAGACAGCTAGACAGACAGCTAGACAGATAGACAGCTAGATGGATAGATAGCTAGGTAGCTAGTTTAATAGATAGACAGATAGATAGATAGATAGATAGATAGATAGACAGACAGACAGACAGACAGACAGACTATTTACAGATGCATGAACATAAAGTAAACATAAATAATATAATGAAGAAATAAAATAAAAATATACTAAAAACATTGGGCTGTCATTGGGCGGAAGGCAGGATACACCCTGGACAGGTCGCCAGTCCATCGCAGGGCAGACAGACAGACAGACAGACATATACAATCACACACACACCCACACCCAGGGGCAATTCAGCATTTCCAATCAGCCTGACTGCATGTTTTTGGACTGTGGGAGGAAACCGGAGTACCCGGAGGAAACCCACGCAGACACGGGGAGAACAGGCAAACTCCACACAGAAAGGGCCTTCCACCCAATGACGGCTGGGATGGGCTCCAGCACCCCACCGCGACCCAGAAGGATAAGCGGTTTAGATGATGTATGTATGTATGATGTATGTATACTAAAAACAATAAAAATAATGTACAAAAATAAGAAGTAAATTTCATAAATACTATGCAGTTGACAATGCAGCGGTGCACGCCCCCTCCAGTGAATGAACAAGTGACTATGTGCTGTAAATTATAACCAACGTTAACAGTTGTGCAATATGACATTTATAGATATACAATACCATATATAAATACTGGACGTCCCAAAGGCTAATGGAATTACAGAGGTTCATTATACTTGATGACCATCCGCTATCTGTAGCGGAAAATGTCGGATTTCGCAGCCTGTTGGAGAACTTAGAGCGCAGATGCAATCATTTCGAATGAAATGTCCGAACGCGGCCGCAGGAGAACGAGGGTGCAGAGAACCCGAGGACGTGAACCAAAGAAGTGACCGCGCCCTTTTTACGGCTCCAACACATTCTGGGTGATGAGCCCAGCTGTCAGTCAGTACAGCTTAATGATGGCTCCTTCAAAACCTCTATTTAATAAATATGTAGTCAATCAGTGTTGATGGCACAATATCTCCTCAAAGAGCTTATCGCGAGGTCATTTACTGCGATACTGATATCAAATATCTATACATATGTAGCCATATCGAATGACGTTCTGTTGATTTCCTAATTCAAAATAAGTTAACACATCCTCTACAGAGAACTCACTTAAATATGTCATTTTTATGTGCATTTTAGTGCACAATTTCTATATATTTGCTGTGTTTAATATATTTGAAAATAAAATATAAAACATGAAAAATGCCGTAACTTTTCCAGAGACACATTTTAAATGTTATGTTTACAAATATGTTAAATGCAGCAAATAAGCAGTAATTATGCACTAAAATGTGCAGACGTGTGTCTCAGCAGAGGTTGTGTTCACTTATTTACACTTACAAAATCAACAAAACATGGAATATGACCAAACGTTTTTAGATTTATATAGTCATATAAATCTATTATATAGTAAAAAAATTGTTAATAAGACGATAAAAATGACGTTAAAGACTAAAGAATCGTCACAGACACAATTAGTGCGCATTTATAAGTTATATCAGATATGTAAGATATAAAAGTTATATCAATATATGCAAAATTTAGATTAATGTCAACACAGCATCTGCTGAAACATGACTGACTTGCATAAAGGAATGGTCCACCAAAAAAACAAAAAATCCTAATGTAATGATCAGCCAAGATTTTTCAGTGAACCGTTCCTTTAAGCCTCAACGAAGAGACATTCAAACAGGGACACTTACTTAATCACGCCAGGATTATTCCATTAAACACTTGGGGCAGGGCTGAACATCCACTTAGTAACAACAGGGGGCGCAAAAAAACAAGAAGCAAAGTAGGGGACTAGGGGGTCCACAGCAGGCATTCTGGGAGTGTAGCTGTTTTACTTACTGGCAGCCTCCTCATCCTCACTGGATGAAGAGCCAATAGCAAAGAGAGTTTTAGATTTGGGCAGGATTGGCGAGACGCTGAAGGAGAAGCTGATTCGCCGCTTGGGTCGAGCTCGTCCAATCGCTGCAGAGTTCCATGATGGCGGGCAGAAAAGAGATCAGACCAGGGGTTACTACAGTACAGGCCGCTAGTGAGGCTGTGTCTCCATTCCCAAAACAAAACCAAAAACAGTGCACCAGCACACCGTGAAGCCGTGCTCCATCCAGAGCCAGTGCTCAAAGAAGAAGAAAAGGCTCCAAGTCCAGTTAAAGCAGGTCAAAAGAGGAGAGAGATCCACACCACAGACCAAACGACTGCTGTTAGCAGGACAGGCATCAAACGTCAGGTGTTTACCGTAGAAGAGGGTACAGAGGTGGACGTGGACAGACGCTCGCAAACCGACTGACAGGGAAATAAATGAGGAGATGAACCAGTTTTAGTTTCCCGAAAGCAAGGTAGCCCTTTAATTCAGCCCATTTGGTTATAAATCTGATGTAGAGCTGGGCAATATGATAATATTTATCATTATTTTGATGAATAACATCACAATATGTCACAACATGCTCTTCTGAGTACTTCATGGACATCGTCAGTACTTAAAAACCACTTCCCAACTGCACGTTTGATCAAAAAGAGAGCATATTGAGTCAGGTTTGATTGGCTTTAGTACAGCGCAGTGTGTGAAATGATGAATACAAGTAATCAGATTTATGATTTGACTGTATTTTTAAAATGTGGCACTACTTTGTCTGTTAAAACTTATTAGATGCCAGAAAAAATAAACATTGTGACATATTGTGCATCACAAAAAAGCTTCCGGAAGTGTTGTGGTATTACATTTTGCCAAATCCCCCAGCTCTAATCTGACGTACACGATTTTCCCAACTTATCTCAACAAGGCAGCTGTCTGGAGTTTAGTTTGAGCGCTGGAGCTATGAGGCTAACAAGCAATGGAAGCTTGTCTCTCCCCAATTAGCACAGTGCTAACGCTAACTGAGGTCTTCAGTATCTCTAATAGTCTTGATTATGTGGTTTCTGACACTTTATGACTCACTTATCTATAAATACGGACTAAAGTAGGTGCTAAACCAGGCTTTAAGGTAGCGAGGTGTGAGATGTAAACAGAGAGATTCAGAGTGGTTTGGTGTGAAGTGGTTCAGAAGTCTTTAAAGTGGTGATGATAGGAACCAGGGGTCGCCATGACTACAACACAAATATAGACATTCACTATCCAGAACCACCAGTGAACCTACACGAGTCTTCTGAGTTTATATGGAATGTTGATGGAAAATAGTGGAAAATCTCAAATAATAAGTTTTCTTTGGGGACTATTTTGCCTCACAGCACCCTGCATATTATGTATCCCTCCACCATGAATGGAGTTTAAGTTCTCAAAACTATCATAAAACAGCGTCTCAGTTATCAGGCAGTGAATTCATAACCATTTCATGTAGGAACTTTCTGTGAGGGAGCTTTTAGAGGTGGACGTCTGGTTCCTATCACCACCACTGTGAACAGTTCTGACTCAGTAAGTTTATCTAGAACGGAGCGTTTCACACCAAACCACTGACCCGCTCTGTTTACATTCTAACGGTTTAATTATGCAGAAATTTTGAAAAATGTGTGGAGTTCCCCTTTAAGACCACTGAAGTACATTTATAGGTAGATTTCCACTGTTTGTGCTTTGATAAACAGAAATGTACCTGTACATCACCCTTTGTTCCTGACAGTGTACTTTAGCCTCGTAGCTCCAGGGCTAAAACTAAAGAAGCAAACTTCAGACACCAAGCAAGCCTCGGCTGATGGACTACATCTGAGGTTAGAGAGGGAAGGTATCACTAACACCACATTGCTTTGGGGAAAGTGTCCCTGTGAGCTGCTCTGGGTGCAGCACTACAGCAGGACTGTGGTTCGTTAAAGTGTAAGTTCTTTAATTCTGATCCCAGAGCAGCAGAGAGGGACTCGGAGGAGGAGACCGAGCCAGACCTTTAACAGAAAACACACACACTCACCATCCAGGTCCCTCGGGCTGATGGCGGACATGGAGATGGACTTGGTGAGGGTCAGTGGTGGAGGAGGGGCGCTGCGCCGTCCAGCCTGAACCGACCGCTGGAACAGACAACAATGCAGTAACGTAAATTACAGAGCTGGGCATTTTACACAAAATGTACTACAATTTTAAGGCATTAGCTGAAAAAATATTCACAGCAAACTGGCTTTATGTTTTCACAGTCCAGATTTCTTAAACTCAAACAGCAGAAACTCACAAAGTTCTGAGCTTCTCAGAATTTTTACCGACTTTGTCCTGTTAATTAGCTCGATTTTTGTCTTGTTATAACGTTATCATCATGTTAATGGTGGTTAGGGTGCGTTATTGTATAGCAATCATAATAACATGAATAATAACCAGGGTTGCACCCAAACCATATCAGTAATCAGCGATGGAGACATTGACACATATGACCAACACCACGTAGCAACTCCTGCTGTTGCATGCTGATGCGCTACTGTTCAGTCCTGTTTTCAACCTTGTTGCACAATAAAAATATTTTTAATTCATTTTCGTTGTTAACCATGGTTACAATTCATAAAAAAATGTGTATATATATTTTTTTTATACACACACACACATACATATATATATATATATATATATGTACACACAATCCAGGTAAATGCCATTCATTCAAATTTATATATAATTTTATATATTTATAGTATTTTTTATTTAATTTGTGACACAGAACACGGTTTTACCAAAATAAAAAAAATCTTAAGTTAGTGAAGTTAGTCACTACTCAGTATCAGCTGATATTTAATAATTTGGTTATCAGTGTCAGAAGGGAATATGTGATATCAGTGCATTCCTAACAACAACAACAGCAACAGCAGCAACAACAACAGTGTAATAATAATAATAATAATAATAAAAAAAAACACTTTCTTCCAGTACTTTTAAGACTGTCACTTACACTAAAGGGGACACAAGAGTAAACAAAGTGATTGTGTGCAAGTTGAATTTAATTTTTGTCACATAAAAGAACATAATCAAGCGCAGTTCTGTCAACGACGTGGCTGTGGTATACGGTCGTCTTAAACTTGGACACAAAATTGCAATTAATCTGAAAAGAAAGAATGACACTGCAATGTAACATGAACTTTGCTGAGAGAGCAGCAGCTCAGCCTAGTCTGGTCCCGTCTTCTCTGAAGCCACTTCAACGCTGTTTGAAACAGCCTGTTTTGCGTGTTGGACGAGAACTGAGGCTTGTTTTTGTGCTTTTCTTGAGACCTAAACTGTTTCGCCTGATATCTGAAACTCACACTGTGGCCTGAAGACACCCTAAATGTTTCGCACGGAATAAATAAATGACTTATTTTAACTTATTGTTAAAAGGGGTGGTGAAGGAGTTTTACCATCACTTGGCGCCGTTTGCATGGAAATTCAGTTAACTGTCACCGGACACAGCAGTAATATCAGGCTGCAGGGACTAGAAAGCATTTTAGCCAAGAAACGATTTTTATTTATGGTAACTTTTTGGTTCTTTCGGTTACAAAGAATATTCTGGAACTGCAGGCTGTCGTTCGTTAAGTTTAAATCATCACTGATTAGCCGCTCGTACACACGGTCCGACTCTCTGAAGACCACACCGTGGACTCTGTGTTCTGTCATGACCACACAGACCAAATCTAACATTTGCTTCCTGCTCCCAATATAGTGCACTATGTAGATCACTATATAACAGCTTCTACTAAAACAAATAATGGCTTCTACACCCAAACAGTGCATTATACGTCGAACAGAAAGCCAATATTTACCCACTAGCTGAACGTTTAGAACAAACGTGTCCTGATCTATGCAGTGCACTATATTCTCATTCTATAGAAACGTCCATTTTTGTGTCTCTAGCGCTTACAGATATCTTACACTTAAAAAACATGTTAGAGTTACAATTTATTTATATTTTAAAATAAAACAATAAGTTATTACACCTTCTTGAGGCTCAATTTAGCAATATTGGTTATTAAATCAATTATCTAGAATTCCAAGCACCACAGAAGAGCTTGTCCCCACAGTCATGTGTGAAGGCTGAGGACATATTTTGAGGTAGAAAACATATTTTTCTGCAATTTTAACTGCAATAATCTATACATGACTATGAAATATATAAATTAAATAACAAAGAAAACAAATGCCAAATAAATATTATAAAATATATTATGAAAGTTGTCCCCAGGAGTCGTGTCACTGGTGTTACCGCATAACAAAAATCTCTTATTTTGAAATAAAAGTCACACTGATGACATCACCTGACTTCCTTTTACCTGTTTTCTGAGGATCTATGAAGAAAAGCACATGGTGAGTCCACTGTGTCTTTCAGTTATCAGAGATTTTCTCATTTAGCTCATGATTTCATATGAAGCTTTTAGCTGAAGTCACTGGTGTGACCGACTTTATTCTGAGGTAATTGTGAAAAAATAGAACACAAATGGATTAAATTCCATATTTTAGTGGATGTTCCATGATTGACATGATTTGATGTTCTGTAGCAGCCATTTAGTAAAATGCATTGTTCATTAAAAATGTCTCTGGTGTTCCTTTATTATGTGGAACACCAATGAGGATCAGTAACACCAGTGACTCCTACGGAGAGACAGAACAGTGGATGTTTCTGTAGAATGACCCATATATAGGGAGAAGGGAGCCAGTTGAGATTCAGCCATAGTATTTAAGGGTTTCCTAAAACATTACACACCATCTTCCGTGCCCTACATGTAACAAAACGCAGGATAAGGTACTTCGCATCTCGAACGCTGTGTGTCATAACCGGAGCTGGGAGTGCGTGTCTGTCCTCTTGCACTCAGGCCTCATATCGATAAAATGATCCACAGTTTATGCCATTTTGGAAAAGGTGTGCTGTGTTCACCTGGCTGTCCAGACTGCTGGCGTCCCCCATGTCGGACTCCTGCTCCTCCTCAGTGAGGGACACCAGAGACCCCCTCTCCTCACTGTCCAGCCGGCCAGGGCGTCCAGGTTCGCGCTGAGATTCTACCCGCCGCGGACTCGAGGACGTCCCCACGTCCCCCTCCACCAGACCCTCCAGACTGTAACTGCAGGACCACCGAGACACAAGGGTCAGATAACTCATCACAGCACAGTTCACACAGGAATAAAAACAAACAAATACGAGCTGAGAATGAGAATCTTAGATGAAGGACCCCCCGAAAAATAAAGAAAACAATGCAGTGTTAATAATAATAAATAAATGATAATAAATAATAATAAATAAATAATAAATAAATGTAATCCTTGCAAAAAAATAACAGTAATACTAAAAAAAAAAAAACTAAGATTTATTAAGTGCTATAAGATTATATAAGATTAAGTGCTGTAGATTTATGATAATCTAAAATATTTTCACCTCTGTGTAATAATCCTGCAGTGCTGTCTTATAGTAATTTATGACACCATAAAGTTAACGACACTCTCTGTATTTACTATGCATTAAGATTCTTATAGGAATCCTGTTGTGTTACTGTAGATGTATTTCATAAGCGATATTTTCACCACAATCCAGCTCAATTTGATCATGTTGCGACCATTTAGAATTTATTTTAGAAATACACTAAACAGACCAATATAACTATTTACTATCCAAAACCAGCAGTGAACCCACACACAAAACACTGATGATGGGAAAATAGTGGAAATTCTGAAATAATAAGTTTTCTTAGGGGACTATTTTGGCTCACAACACCCTGCATGTATCCCTCCACCATGAATGGAGTTAAAAATATGGTTTGGGCCCCAAAATCTTCTCAAAACTATCATAAAACAACAAGCTTTTAGAGGTGGAAGTCTGGTTCCCATCACCACCACTGTGAACAATTCTGACTATCCAGAACCACCAGTGAACCTACACGAGTCTTCTGAGTTTATATGGAATGTTGATGATGGAAAATAGTGGAAAATCTGAAATAATACATTTTCTGTGGGGACTATTTTGCCTCACAGCGCCCTGCATGTATCCCTCCACCATGAATGGATTCTCAGACCAAAATCTTCTCAAAACTATCATAAAACAGTGTCTCAGTCATCAGGCAGTGAATTCATAACCATTTCATGTAGTAACTTTCTGTGAGGGAGCTTTTAGAGGTGGACGTCTGGTTCCTATCACCACCACATGTGAACAATCCTGACTCGGTAAGTTTCTCTAGAACAGAGCATTTCACCAAAACACTTTCCCAATTTGACTTTGTTTACATGTTAGTTTTTCAGAGTTAATCTGATTATGATGATATTTTTCAGTGGAATTCCCCTTTAAGGCTATTGTTGTATCTTTGAGGGTACATTTACATTGTTCAGTGTACATTAGATCTATTTTTACAGTAGTAAAAGACAGTAGGAACATTAAAATATACAAGCAAGCTTTTATTTCTATTTATGTATGAAACCAGATGTTTTTAGTGGCTGAAAAACAAGCACACGTGTTATAAATGATTCTAACAGATTGTTTTAACACTCCAAAACTGAATCATAGTCTTCAGAACGGACGTATCGACAGATCTTTACATCAGTGAGAAGAGTTAATGAGGGTTACAGTGACCTGGTGAACAGACCGAAACCCAGACAAATGCAAACAAAAACCTCATGTATGCTCTGTGGTGCCTTTAACCATCACTCAGGACCTTCAGATGCAAACCTCTGTCAGAGTCTCACTCTCTGCACCCTCGCAGCTCAGCGTGAAACACGTCTGTAACTTCTAACACCCCCGTGAGATAACAGAGCTCAAACCTGCTACAAAACCAACACTGAAGCAGCTTCTCACTGATTAATCTAATGAACACAGCAGCCTTTCTGACGTGGGGGTCTTCACAGACTAACTAACTTACCGCTCATTCAGTTTTTCCTCATCTAGCAAATAAACCAAACAAGCTACCAAAAGTAACAAAGTAGCTAGTAGCTTCCCAGCTGGTTTGGGTTTGTGAAATCAATCTAAATTGTAATCTAAACAGAAATTCTGCATAACAAAAAGGTTAGAATGTAAACTAAGCATGGTTTGGTGTGAAACGCTCCAGAAACTGAGTCAGAACTGTTCACAGTGGTGGTGATAGGAACCAGACGTCCACCTCTAAAAGCTCCCTCACAGAAAGTTACTACATGAAATGGTTATGAATTCACTGCCTGATGACTGAGACACTGTTTTACGATAGTTCTGAGAAGATTTTGGCCTTAAAATCCATTCATGGATACCTGTAGAGGCCAAACAGTGCCCAAAGAAAACTTATTATTTCAGATTTTCCACTATTTTACCATCATTAACATTCCATATAAAACTCAGAAGACAGAAAAACTCATGTGGTTCTGGAGAGTAAATAAAATGTCTATATTTGTGTTGTAGTCATGGCGACCCCTGGTTCCTATCACAGAGACATCGGAGCCATTTCACACCAAACCACTCTGAATTTATTATGTATGAAATAAAAGTCCTAGAATATCCAACATAAATATGCTGTTGAAGTACTCGATGCTGCTGCCAGCGCAGCCTGACAGCTGTTTACTGACATTAGAAATGCTGATAAGAGAGATCAAACAGCAGATAGAGTCATTTTCTGTCAAAAAACAGAAGAGTAAGACTTTATAACCAACCACACAGTTGTAAGACTTTAAAAGCCGCTCTCTCAAAGAAGCGACATTCCTACCTAACTGATCAGCGAACAGCTCAATCTTGTGTAACTACGGATGTTTCTAATGTCACTGACTATAAAGTGATCGATCAGCTACAGCCTCATGATTAGTATCATATAAAGAATACAGGTATCAGGTGAGCTAAACACAACTCTAAAGCCCGACAAGCCTTGTGCAAAGCCAAAACACACAAAAACAGCCTGAACTGCACCAGAGCAACGAGAGAAGATTACAAAACAAAATGACGGTATTTCACTCAGTCAGGGATAAAACGAGATTAATAGTGTTTAATCTTACCAGTCGTCTGGCTCAGAAACATAAATGAGTATATTGGTCATTTTGAATGAGGAGCAGAGTCTTCAGTCCAACTGATGCTGAAGAAGTTCTGCACTGAAAGGCTGCATCCGCCTCTGAGAGTGTGAGGCAAACGGAAATGACTTTAGGGCTTTGTCTGAGGTCTGTAAAGGATGTCCACCACAGCCAGAGGAGGAAGTGGAGTCTCACACACAAGCTCACAAAGTCATGCACCAAACTGCAGACATACTGAGCAGATGAGGATCTCTGTCTGACTGTAGATCAGCTGGTGCAGGACTCTTCGTTTCTAACAGTCGACACGCCAATCAAAACAGTAGCTGACTCATAAATTTTCATAGCTATGCTGACGACACCCAGTTATACATTTCTATCCTTCTGATGATCACGACTCTGTAGACAGGCTGACGAGCTGTGCGTCGGATATTTCTCAATGGATGTCGCAAAATTTTCTACAACTAAGGCCCAGTCCCACTTCACCGCTCGCCCCGACCACTTAGCCCTATTGCGCATTCATGCCTAGGGGTAGGGTGTCCCAATTCTTGTTGAGATAGTGGGGTGGGGTGAAGTGTTGGGGCTACATGACCCTCCAAACGGAGGTTTTTCAGAGACTCCAAACAGAGAGATATGAGGAAAAAAGAAGAACCGGCAAGATGGAGAACAAGAGACCAAAGAAACCCACAAATGTGAGAATTTTCTCTGTTAAAAATTACGATAACCACTGTTTTATCTTAGTTTAATGACATTTTAGTGTATCATGGTCTTTTTCTTTGTAACAAGCAGAAAAAAAATGCTTGTAGTAGATTATGTCTCAAAAACTAGCTGGCTAAATTTCTCGTTCCACCTTAAATGGTGCAGCAGTTACATTCTGGAGCCTCAGGCTTCAGAACTGCTGCTCTATTTAAGGTGGAAGAAGAAAATTTAAACGAGAATCTGGTGAATAACTGCCCCCCTCTTTGAAGGCGTACGATGCCCTAAATGTAACTAAAGCCCAGCAGTGAGGAGCTGAACTTTACCCTCCTCTGCTGTCACTGCAGACTGGCAGGGTCGCCTACAGAGCAGCGCTGGTAGCTGTTAATGAAGTGATGCTCTTTTTATTTGAGTTTATTTGGGTTGTTCCATTTCTTTGGGACAGAGTTCAATCACTACCCCTTGTAAGTCAGTTCCAAGGGGCAAGGTGGCTCTCAAAAACAAGGGGTAGGGGTAAAAATATGAAATGGGTCTGGGCCCAAATCACAAAAAATGGAAATACTAAAACTCAGAGAAAGCTGCTTTATGAGAAACTTGGTTCTTTAGCTTCATCTACCAAACCTGAAGTAGGAAACCTGGGTGTGATCTTAGACTCTAGCTCAGTTTTATCCCACATGTAAACACAGTTACTAAAGTAGCTTTTAATCATGTGAGAAAATCACTAAAGTTCAGCCTTTTCTCTCTCAGAGCGACGCTGAGAAACCTGTTCATGCATTTGTTACAGCAGAGTTGATCACTGTAATGATCTCCTTACTGAACTTCCTAAGAAAACTATATGTCCTTTACAGTTCGCACAAAACGCATCAGCATCCTAACAAAAACAACACAGAGAGATCAGATCAGTCCTGTTTTAAAAGAGCTGCACTGGCTGCCTGTATCATTCAGGATAGACTTTAAAGCTCTGCTACTGGTTTTTAAAGCTCTTAATGACCTTAGAGCTCCGCTTACATCACAGAGTGTCTGTTTATGATCTTAGATTTGCAGATACTGACCTTCTACTTGTTCAGTTACTCTGCTTCTAAACTGTGGAACTCAGTTCACCTTTTATTAGACAGCCAAGTTCAGTGTTCACTTTTAAGAAGCACCTAAAAACGTAACTCTAACTCAGCATTTAATTAAAACTACGTTTCATGGTATTTATCTTTTCATTTGATCTGTGTCATTTTCTTAAATGATTCTAAATTAATACTTATAATTTCTTGCCTTACTGTTGAGCTTTATCACCTGTCCGTAAAGCACTCTGAGCTGCCGCCGGCATGAAAAGTGCTAAATAAATAAAAATTATTATTATTAGTAGTAGTAGTAGTAGTAGTACTAGTAGTAGTTTTCAGGTAACTTTTTTTTTTCTAGTATTTTGGGTCCTAAAATTAACACAAATCTCAGGGCTTGTATTTATCCAAGCTACGCAGCAGGTTTATTAGCGTGATGGAAAAAGTCTGGCTACCAAATAATCGTCATCTCTGCACACCAATCGGCAATGAGCCCTTCAGAGCGAGAGACAGTATCTGAACTGAAAAAGATTCATGCTAAACTGTTTTTAAAAGTTTAGGTTGAAGCTGTTCGTAGCAAGGAAACGAGATATTTATTAGCTGCCGTACCATTGGTTTCATGTCAGTTTGTTTTTGTTGCACATACTGCAGTAAAAAACACTGTTTTTCACGTCAGTCAGATGGTTTCTTTCTATTAAAGGTGCAGTGTGTAAGACTTTGGGAGGATGTATAAGCAGAAATGGAATATATTAAACAAAACCACGTGTTCATCAGTGTATAATCAGGCGTAACTATGAATCATGTTTTTGTTTTGAATGAGCCCTTCATATCTACATAATGAGCGGCTCCTCTTCAACAGAGGCTGCCGCCACCATGTTTCTAAAGTAGCCCAGAACGGACAAACCAAACTCTGCCTCTAGAGGGCGCCTTTCATGCTTTCACACTGAAGTGGCAGCTTGAATTTGGTGGCGCTGTAGCTCCAGTTGGAAGACGTAAAAAGAATAAGAATCAGTGGTTGCTGCCGGTGCTGACTGACCATTCTGTGCTGTGAGAAGTTTGAGAACCCAAATTTTGACAAATGGAGGATCAAACTTATTATTTAGCACAAGAAAAAGTGAAGGAGGGTGAATCCTCACCGTCAAAGAGAGACATGAAGAACCAAAACTAAATCGGGACAGACGGCGTCAGAAAACCTGACGGCCACTGTAGGTTCTACTACACACTTGGAAAGGGAGGGGTGAAGGAGGGAGATTCAGCTCGTTCTGCAACCTCACCACTAGATGGCACTAAATCATACAAACTGCCCCTTTAAAGTAGGTGGTTCTCCAAACCTACATGATCTTATGAGACTGTTAGCATATATATATATAGATTATATATTACACACACACGCACACATAAATGTATATTGTCACTGTTGTATCTCCAAAACAGTAACTTTACAGCAGAAGGAAAAACTTGCTTAACTTTTTAATGGATTTCTGGTCCATTCAACATGAAAATATAACAATTTTTAAATCATACCAAAAAGTATAAATATAGTATGTTACTGTAAACCTGTTTTTCTGTTTATTTGTATTTTAAGCATTAATTTGCTCAGAAACCCACAAATAATTTGATAAATGCATATAACATTAATACAATAAGCAGCGGTTCAATGTATGTTGCTGTGTTTGTTTAACCATTTTCAAACTAATCATAGCAGCTCAGTATTAATTGTAGTTATTCACCAATACTCGATTTTCCTAATCAGTCCCTCACTATGATGAATCAGGTGCTGCTTATTGAAATGTAATAAATCTGTGATGGCTGGAAGCGTCCAGGAGAATTCTGGAACCAAACTTTGCTCTTCAAATTAGCTCTATTATAAATTAAAAATTCATTACTTTTCTGAAAACAGGAAATTCGGTCACACCTTATCTGGATGGTCCCCTATAGAAGCTCTACAGAGACTTAAATCATTAACAAACTTTCTGGTGATGTTCAGTTGATTATCAACATTATGGTGAGGGTCAGGGTTAGGAGCAGATGTAGGGTTTACCTTGAGGTTAAGGTGAGGGTTAGGTTTAGGTTTAGGGTAAGATTTAACACATTCTTTCACACTAAACTTGTAGTTCAGTCGAATTTAATGGATATTTAGTTGAATGTATTTAAAGGCCAACTGAGCATTTATAAAGCACCTACAGTGGACCATCCAAGTAACACTTAACTTCACAATCAGTCGCATTTAATGGATATTTAGTTGAATGTTACTTAAAGATATCCTGAACATTTACAAAGAATTTACAGTGGACCATCCAAATAAAGTGTTACCAGAAATTCTTGTTACTTTTTACTGAATTTGTGTTTATTTGCATTTATTCCAGTGACACATAGTGGTTTGTACTGGCATGAATGGTTTTAAACAATGCGCTTAGGTGCCTGAGACCAAAACCTTTTAACAGCTTCATGACGACTGAATTAAGTGAGATCAATACACTAACATACATTCAAATTAAGGATGCGTTTCCTTCCTTTGAAGTTACCATTTCAGAGTCACGAGGTTTTGCCATGATAGGAGTGATATATATATCGATACGACAACATTTAAGCACAGATTTCGTTTTCAGCGCTCTTTACCTTCTAGCATTCATTTCATCGTTCTCTGGACGAGGGACATCTGATGGACACCAGCTCATACTACATCAGAGAGCGAGGGGTGGAGAAAGAGACAGAGACGACAGAAAGAAGGTGAGAATGACGTGTGGATCAGCAGGTAAAGGTGTAGCAGTGACTGTTAATGATAGTGGTGGTAGAGAGATTTCCTTTATATGGTCTTAAAAATCGATGTGAACAAAAATTAAAAGTCTCACAACATAATCAAGCATTTTAAAATGAAAAGCAGCACCAAAACTGATGTTTCTAAAGGGAACAATGTGGTTAGTGACAAAATCTGCAAGTTTAATCCAGTATGAATCTGTACTGAGCAGTTTTTACAGTCTGACGATAACTGGAGGAATTTTAATCCAGTATGAATCTGCAGTGTGTGTAGTTTTACAGTCTACAGTAATAATTGTGGAGGAATTTTAATCCAGTATGAATCTGCAGTGTGTGTGTAGTTTTACAGTCTACAGTAATAATTGTGGAGGAATTTTAATCCAGTATGAATCTGCAGTGTGTGTAGTTTTACAGTAATAATTGTGGAGTGATTTTAATCCAGTATGAATCTGCAGTGTGTGTAGTTTTACAGTCTACAGTAATAATTGTGGAGTGATTTTAATCCAGTATGAATCTGCAGTGTGTGTAGTTTTTACAGTCTGACTGTAATAATTGTGGAGTGATTTTAATCCAGTATGAATCTGCAGTGTGTGTAGTTTTACAGTCTACAGTAATAATTGTGGAGTGATTTTAATCCAGTATGAATCTGCAGTGTGTGTAGTTTTTACAGTCTGACAGTAATAATTGTGGAGTGATTTTAATCCAGTATGAATCTGCAGTGTGTGTAGTTTTACAGTAATAATTGTGGAGTGATTTTAATCCAGTATGAATCTGCAGTGTGTGTAGTTTTACAGTCTGACTGTAATAATGTGGAGGAATTTTAATCCGGTAAATAAATGCAAATTAATTATACATCTGACGTCGTGGTGCTGGTACCTTCTCCTGTGTCCTGCAGGTTTCCCTCCATCCTCACTCTGTACCACACTGACCCAGGATGAATGAAGGAAAAAAAAGGGAAGGAAAAAAAGGAAAGTGGATGATGAATGACAACTGAAAGTGAAAATGAATGAATTAATTGATGAATTATGTGTCTACTGAGTGACAGTCTGGCAAAAGCCTGATCTGAACAGCAGTCAGCCTCGGCAGAAGAGACTGATATGGATGAGTGAGATGGCTGTAAAAGAAGCTGGAAATATGAACCATGAACACAGAACTGTGAGTGAAGTTATGAAGTGGACGCAGGCCGTTCTCTTCTCTGGGTATCAGTTACTAATAAACATTTGTTTTATTTCCCGAAAATCAGTTTTAGAAAAGCGTTAACATTACAGCCTCAAGCAAGAGCTCTACTGAGTACTAAATGGCCACTGATTCAAAGACCAGCAGTGCATTGATGTTTAATTCTAAACACAGAAGGGGGGTCAACTTAAAAAAAAGTTAATGTGTCATCTCAATATTGAACATAACCGATTTCTTTCCTGTAATATGAGAAAAGATATATAAATAATGAAAAATAAGTCTCAGAATAAAAAAATGTAAAATTAAAAGTTACAACAGTAAAATTAGTAGACTGATTTTAATCCAGTATGAATCTGTTTCTAGTTTAGAAAGTCTGACAGCAATAACTGTGTAGCAATTTTAATCCAGTATGAATCTGCAGTGTGTGTAGTTTTACAGTCTGACAGTAATAATTGTGGAGCGATTTTAATCCAGTATGAATCTGCAGTGTGTGTAGTTTTACAGTCTGACAGTAATAATTGTGGAGTGATTTTAATCCAGTATGAATCTGCAGTGTGTAGTTTTACAGTCTGACAGTAATAATTGTGGAGTGATTTTAATCCAGTATGAATCTGCAGTGTGTGTAGTTTTACAGTCTGACAGTAATAATTGTGGAGCGATTTTAATCCAGTATGAATCTGCAGTGTGTGTAGTTTTACAGTCTGACAGTAATAATTGTGGAGTGATTTTAATCCAGTATGAATCTGCAGTGTGTGTAGTTTTACAGTGTGAGAAGTCAGCAGCCTTAAGGAAACACAATTTAGTGAATTCTTCGCTCCTCCAGGTGAGGAGAAAGTCTAGACAGCTATGAGAGCTGTGTTAACGTCTTGAATGCTGTTTTTAGTGTTATCAGTGTGTATAAAGGTGATGGTAGCTATGCTAACACCGCCCCGTTTCCATCCCCCTCAGATCATTAACAGTCATGCCTTTGAAACACAGGTATGTGTCCTTACCTGCGCTGACCCATATCCGCTTCTCCAGCAGAGTTCCTGCTCGGACCCCAGCTGTGCCTGCGTGACGGAGAAAGAGAGCGCACTGACGAGCGCGGGATAGTGGAACGCTCTGGAACCTCCGTCAGCTGATCCTTCTTCTCCTCTTCCTCCGTTTCTCCAGTGGCCGGTAAGGACCTAGCCCCAGGTGGATCGGAGCCCACCGTGATGGAGCCCTCCACAGGCTGATCTGAGCCCACTGTGACTGTGCCCTCTACAGGCTGACTGGAGCCGACAGCAATGGTGCCCTCTGGTGGCTGATCAGAGCCCAGTGTGACTGCACCCTCTACAGGCTGACTGGAGCCGACAGCGATGGCGCCCTCTGCAGGCTGACTGGAGCCGACAGTGATGGCGCCCTCTACAGGCTGACTGGAGCCCACTGTGACAGCGCCCTTTACAGGCTGATCAGACCCCACCGTAACTGCACCCTCTACAGGCTGTTCGGAGCCCACCATGACTGCACTCTCTACAGGCTGCTCGGAGCCCACCGTGACTGCACCCTCTAAGGGATGATCAGAACCCACCGTGACTGTGTTCTCCACAGGTGGATCAGAGCCACAAGGCCCCAGACTGGACCAGTCGTCTGTAGAACTGGATCCAGTTACGGAGACCCCACTGGTGCTGTCAGCCGCGAGTGTGACCGTATCTTCACTCTAAGAAAAAAAGCAAGAGAGGAAAAATAAATGGATTATTCTTTACAATCATCACCTAAAAGAAGGAGAAAGAAAAATAAGAAAGAAGCAAAGATACTTTGATGCATATTGACGTTAACATTAACGTGCAGTTTGTGCTTTAAAGTCGCTGCTTCAGCCGCTTTCAGAGGAACAGTTTTCATTTTCTCCCTCTAAAGCTGTCGGTAGAGAGCGAGAGCTCAAAGGGGGGTAGATGTTCGTCGGTGTTTGAGTAAAACGTCTACAGTGGCGCTACGGACCCTGACAACTCGACGCACCCCCTGCTGGCATGTGTACGTGTTTAGTTTTTTGCCAACTAGTTTATTGTTAGCGAGCTGTTTGAATATCTCCAGCTAACATGGCTAATCTAGCGTTTTGGTTATAGTTATTATTTTCACGTCCATCAACGTTAGCTGGCGTTACTGTACTCTGACAGGTGTGCGGGAATTTTTCCACAAAGCATTCATGTCCTTTCAGTTTTGACTTCCACATTGTTGCGCGTTTGGTTCTCCAACAGTTCTGGACACATCCTTGAATTTCAGTATTTACAATTTCAGTGTTTAATAAGTACATTTACTCTCTTATGTTGGCTCAACACATGAAAACTTTAATGCAATTTTGGTTGCTTGAGGTCTACTTTAAACTAAATTGCACTTGAGCTGCATGACGTAATCCTGCATCCTGCAACTGACTTGAAACTCAGATGCAACAGTTGCAGCTGTCTCAGCTTTGTGGAACAAGTTTCATGAAACAATCAAAACGCTGATGACATTTGATCGTATCTAACGATTGCTTTCACAGCATTTATGAACAGAAGATTTAGGCAAGGTTCGTAGTTTGTCCACAACAAACATGAGCTTCTAGACCATTTCCATAACCAGCTGCATTAACTAGCCACTTTACGCTAGCTGTGATTACCCTGGGACGAACTTGCTGGGCTTCCAGGACAAGATGAGCAAGACATAAAAAGCTTAACCTCATCCTAGACAGAAAGATAAAATACAAATATATAGATATAGCTGGAAAAATTATATAGAGACAACAGAAATGCTGCAAATATGTAAATAATACCACACAGATTTCTTTATACAGCACGAATGATGCACTACAAATACAAAACTAACCAGCAGAGTAATCAACTGTGCTGAACTTTGTTTTTGAAATGCTTTGTTTAACTGCTAAGTTGCACAGAAGTTATGCTGCATGCAACTCGTTGCATGAAATTTCCCCATCTAAAGCCAGCCTTACCAATAACCACTTTAAACTTTCACTGTTTCTCTGTTCCTCTCTCTCTCTCACGTGTTGAATATGGTCTGTGAGAGTTGAGCTGGCAGGGCTTTTTCCAGTTTTGTAAAGCTTACATAACGTCCACACACCCTGGACGAGATCATTATTGGTTTTCTTCCATGTGCAGGCGTGCTGTACCCAGCCAGACGGTGGGTGCGCCCTGACCGACAGGACATTAATGACTGGGGGATACTGCACAAGACGTCAACAGTCACAACACACAATACGCATCATGATATTTAGTTTTTCTGAGGTTTGATCATTTAGAATGAACAAATTATATATGCAATCAATCATTTATAAGCTGCACTGCACTATGTTTCAATGAAAAACACAGATGACCAGTGCTCTTTTAGCACGATATCCATGATAGTCCGAGAAAAGCAAAATGATGTAATATAGCACATTAACAACAACACTGTGCCCACCTCTACTTATGAACGTTGGAAAGCCCCTACACCTGGCAATCTGAAAACTGTGCTATCAGTCCCAGCTCACAGGCGGAGCTGAAAATAACCCTCAGGCCTGCAAGACATCAGCTCCAGCCAGAGGATGAAGAGTGTGGGTACATGAGCCTGAACAGCTGGCATCACCACCACTCGCGTCATGTCAAATTTAAAAAAGTAGTTGCCTAATAAAAACTGAGAGCAGAAGGAGTCTGCAGGTCTTTGTTGCTTCACCAGGAGCTTATAATCTGAACCAACAAACCCAAAACCCAACCTGAACCAATATACAGGGTGTCCCAAAAGAACTGACATCAATTCGTAGTCTAATAACAGCCAATTCGCCCTCAAATGATCTCAATTTTTAATATTGTTTTTCAGGTTGAAGAACGGCGTTCACTAGAAATGAAAAGGCATTGTGTGTGTTAGAATATGCTGAAACACAGTCAAACGAGAGTGCAGCGGCATTTTCCAGAAAATTCAATAAAAATGCACCAACTGGACAGCAGATTTGGACACGGCACAAAAACTCAAAGAGGAAGGCTGTCTGCGCAGGACAAAGGGGTCCGGACGACCACCAGTATCGGAAGATATCGTCAATCAGGTTCGAGAAACATTTGTGCGAAGCCCCAGAAAGTCTGTAAGAAGAGCATCTCTGGAAACCCAGATTCCTCATATGACACTTTGGCGTGTCGTAAGGAAACACTTGCGAATGACACCCTATAAGCTGCAGCTCGTTTAAGCCTTAAAGACAGATGTGCATATTGAACATCTGTGACGCTGGGAAATCGGTTATAAAATCTACATCCCTCTGAATTTCTTGTTTGAATTTTGATAAATAAGTCTTGTGTTGTTCAACATGAAGCCCATTTAATTTTGTTTGCCAGGACATGTAGTTACTCAGATACTCACATCTCAAATGACACCTGTATTAAAATCCTAAAATCCCTATTTGAACTAATGGAACCAAATCCCACACTAAACCAATAAACCCAAATCCCACTCTGAACCAATATATCCAAATGCTAAAATCCCAATCTGAGCCAATATATCCAAATTACAATGTGAACGAATATTCCCAAATCCCAATCTGAACCCTGCGCACACGCACACACAAACACACACACACACACACACACACACACACACATTTTCTGAAACCGCTTATCCTTCTGGGTCACGGGGGGGGGGGGCTGGAGCCTATCCCGGCAGTCACTGGGCGGAAGGCAGGATACAGGTGGACAGGTCGCCAGTCTACCGCAGGGTCGACAGACATATACTTTCACACACACACGCACGCACACCTAGGGATAACTTAGTCCAATTGGCCTGACTGCATGTCTTTGGACCGTGGGAGGAAACCCACACAGACACGGGGAGAACATGCAAACTCCACACAGAGAGGGTCCTGACCAATATATCTAAATTACAATATGAACAAATATTCCCAATCTGAACCAATGTATCCAAATTCTATAAACCCAATCTGAACCAATATATCCAAATTCTATAATCCCAAACTGAACCAATATACCCATATCTCAACCCTAATCTTCCCAAACTCTGAGCTGAGCCCATAACAGAAGCAGCCGAACTGTTCCCAGCAGCCTTAAGGCCATAAGTGCTCTTTCATAAAGTTTTCAGTACAGGGATGACATCAGCGAAGATGAGGTCATGATTACCGCTGAGTGTGTGTGTGTGTGTGAGAGCGTGGGTGTGTGTGTGTGTGTGTGTGTGTGTGTGTGTGTGATTCAGATCAGCCTGAACATAATCACACATTACATAACTCATGTATCTGGCAGAGACACCCAAACAACCAGAACCAGTCAAAAACAGAAAACAGGTTAAAGGACAGAGACCAAAACACACAAACTCACTGACTACAGTAAACACACGCCATCAAACACACACACACACACACACACACACACACACACACACGCACACACACACCATCATACACACACACACACACACACACACACACACACACACACCATCATACACACACACACACACGCCATCATACACACACACACACACACACACACACCATCATACACACACACACACACACACACACACACACACACCATCATACACACACACACACACACACCATCATACACACACACGGTGTGTCCTGCTGACCTGTTTGAAGACGCTGTCGTCCACCGTCTCTGTACTGACCAGTGAGTCTCCATCACTGATCGACTCAGATTCAGGCAGAGAGCTCACTGACACTGACCTGCACACACCCTCAGAATGACCTGAGAGAGAGAGAGAGAGAGAGAGAGAGAGAGAGAGAGAGAGAGAGAGAGAGAGAGAGAGGTCAC